CAGTCACAGTCCATGTCACTCACAGCCCAGGAGAGGGACACCCTCTGAGATGGACCCACAGTCACAGTCCGTGTCACTCACAGCCCAGGAGAGGGACACCCTCTGACATGGACCCGCAGTCACAGTCCCTGCAGGGCCCTCCCGTGGCCGGACACCTGCCATTCAGGTCGGTTCAGGGCCCAGTGCTTGTGTGTTGCCCGGGGCACGTAACCTTCTCTGGGGTTGAGTTTGAACAAGCGTCACTTTCACTCACTATTTGCTCAGGAATCTTAGGCTTTCCATTAATTAACTAATTTATTTTAGGAACTTAGAGATAAACACTGTTTCAGAGAGTAGAACCCTTTGCTACCACACTGTTATTCCGTGTTTATCTGCTTTCTTCCCCAGGCGTTCTAGGCAGCTCGTCTGAGGTATATTTCAGAGGGAGGTGTGTGGTAGATGGCTGAAGTTCACGATACACGTGTTTTGTAAGATAGTTACTTATTGCTGTTAGATTTTAAGGTTTTGAACAATGTAAACTGGGTTCTTTCCCTCCCTCCCTTCCTGCCTTCCTTTTTCACTTTCTTTTTAAATATTATCCTGACCTTAATCCTTTAAATGTCTAGCGCACTAGTATTCCACACAGAAATGTAACGCGGTGAATCAGTGACTAACCTGGGTGATAACCGGGCCTCCTTGTTTTCCAGCCAGCTGGCCATTTACCAAACTACCCGGTTAATCCGTGCCCTGATGCCTTCCATAAGCATTTGCTGAGTGCCCCCTATGTGTCAGGCACACCCTGCCCTTGGAAATACAGGAAGAAATCAGATCCAGTCCTGTTCTCAAGGGGCTGATGTCTAAAAGAGAGGGAGAAGCAGAAGGTGGTGGTGAAGTGCGGCACAGGTGATAATAGAAATATTCGGTTTGGTGAAGAAAAAGGACGGTGTGACCCCTTCCTGGGGCCTGGGGGACCCAGAGAGGGAGAGGTTCTGCGCTGGTCCTGGTGGCGCATGCTGGTGGGTTTTGGAACCAAAGCGAGAGTGCTGGACTTGGCCGCTGTGCAGGCACCGTGCACGTGGAGAGGAGGGGAAGGGGAGCCGGAGGGAGTAGGCTGTGCTCACTGGCACCAAGAGCCCACACCCACCCTGTTCTAAACCCAGGACAGGGCTCCCTCTGCTCGGGGGGCCTCTGGGCAGGCAGATTCCTCCCTTCCTCCTGAGATTTGCCCAATATTCTGAGCAGCTCACTGAAACACACGAGTAAACACTCCTGCAAAATGACCTTGTTTATAACTTCCCTGCGACAGTCACACAGATTTCTGCTTGTTTGCAGGGGGTGGTGAGAGGCACACAGGTGTTGTGTCTGTGACCCTTCTCTTTCTGCAGCTGGTGGCTCAGCCTAGAGTCCCACCCTGTTGCGTGAACCGCTTCTGAGCCAACTGCTGCTCTGTGCCCGGGGAACTCTGATCTCACCCTTTCCAGAAGAGATCCGAGCGGGAAGGGGAGGCAGGGCTCAGGTGCATGTGCTGGCATGGCCTCTGTAAGGTGAGGCGCTTGGGCCAGGTGACCCCCAAGGGTTGCATCCAGCTGTAAGGTTTAGGGTTATAGCAGGCTTTGGTACGTTTCCTTGAATACAAATTGTTGGCAAATTGTTTTATTCAGGGGTCCCCAGTTTCCTTTCTTTGTAAAGATTCATCCATATGGCAAAGGTGGATAAAGTGCACCATGATCGGGAAATGAAGGATTATGGACCAGCTAAGGGAGGCAAGAAGAAGAAGGATCCTAATGCCCCTAAAGGACTGTCTGGCTTCTTCCTGCTCTCAGAATTCTGCCCCAAGAACAAATCCACAAACCCTGGCATCTCTGTTGGAGACGTGGCGAAAAAGCTGGGTGAGATGTGGCATAACCTAAATGACAGCGAAAAGCAGCCTTCCATCACTAAGGCGGCAAGGCTGAAGGAGAAGTATGAGAAGGATGTTCCTGATGATAAGTCGAAAGGAAAGTTTGATGGTGCAGAGGGTCCTGCTAAAGTTGCCCAGAAAAATGTGGAAGAGGAAGATGAAGAAGACGAGGAGGAAGAGGAGGAGGAGGAGGAGGAGGAGGAGGATGAATAAAAAAACTGTTTATCTGTCAAAAAAAATAAAAAGGAGCTGGGCGGCACAGCAGCAGGTGAGCAGCGGGTGAGTGAGCAGAGCTGCCTCTGTTTGTAGCCGCCACCCATTGCTGACGTGACCACCTGAGACCCGCCTCCCGTCAGAGCAGCGTGGCATTAGATTCTCACGGAGCACCAACCCTTGGAGAACCGCACATTCGAGGATCTAGCTCCTTATGAGAATCTAATGCCTGATGATCTGCACTGTCTCCCATCGCCCCCAGATGGGAACGTCTAGTTGCAGGAGCACAGGCTCAGGCTTCCCACCGATTCTATGTGATGGTGAGTTTTATAGTTATTTCACTATATATCAGAACGTAACAATAATAACAGAAATAAAGTGCACGATACATGGAATGCACTTGAATCATCCTGAAACTACCCCTCACCACCCCCTGTCCATGGAAACCCAGTCAACATGACACTGGTCCTGGGTGCCACAAAGGTCGGGGATCACTGTTTTTATTAATAAAATTCTGAAACAATTCTCAGGTTAAAGGATTTGTGTGCCCATCAGGATAACACTTCATAATCAAAGCTTAGAGGTGGTTTAAGCCCCCAGATACCCACAGTTAGGCTCTTTCCCTTTACCTGAGAGCCAGCGTGTGTCACAAACACCAGACGGCTGAAACCGTCAGTGAGGCGCGACTCCGTCCAGACCCTGCCAGGGACTGGGTCACGACCACCAAGCTGCTGGGGGCTGGGGGCTTCTGCTGGGGACGGCTGCAGGTTCTCAGGCTTCCTGTAAGGTACGCTGCACTCAGGACTCGAGGTGCTGTCCAGGCAGAGCACTGTTCCAGAAGTGGGTCCAGGCAGTGGCAGGAAGAGAATGGGCAAAGCGGCATGGGTGATTTTGGGGTAGTGCCCTTTGAAGTTAAGATCACACATAATGCATTTCTTCATAGATGTCCCATTTCTCAGGACAATGTTTTCTTTTTTTTTGAGATGGGGTCTTGCTCTGTCATGCAGGCTGGAATGCAGTGGCAGAGACAGTTCACTGCAGACATGACCTCTTGGGCAGAAGCCGTACTCCCACCTCAGCCTCCCAAGTAGCTGGTCTGCAGGTGTGCACCACCATGCCTGCCTAGTTTTTGTATTTTTTTGTAGAGGCAGAGTCTTGCTGTGTTGCCCAGGACGGTCTTGAACTCCCGGGCTCAAACGATTCTCCTGCCTTGGCCTCCCAAAGTGCCGGGATTGCAGGTAGGAGCCACCATGGCTGGCCAGGACAGTTTTTGAAAGTATCTGACTCAACTCTGGCCAATAAGTGTGTGAGTGGTTGTGTGTGTGAATAAATATATGTGCGTGTGTGTGTGTGCACATGCGTGCGTGCGTGCGTACATGTGTGTACACTATGTGGCACGTGTGTGGCATGTGTATGTGTGCACGTGTGTGGCGTGTTCATGTGTGCTATTGGGTTGGGCTGATTTAGCTTCATGTTCTCTTCCTTTGTGTTGTTATTAGGAAAATAATTTCTTCTCAGAAGAGCTTCAGAAAGTCACATGGACAAGCTGATGGATGTTAAAGTACCTCGTAAGTGGCACCGCCGCCGTCACAGGAAGGGCCTGTGCTAGACATCCTTGTGATTTGTGTGATATTCTGGTCCTGGGAGATTGGGTGAGGCTCAGGATCTCAGGTGCATAGGGTGGGGTCCTCTTGAGGGGCACCTGGAGCTGCCTCAGCTCCTGTTTGTGAGGCCAAGTGAGATCCGTAAAAACGCGTTTCTGCTGACATGTGGCGATGGCATCACGCTTGCTGCCCCCATAGTTACGCGCAGGGAGCTTGTCTTCTGTCATCACCACCTCTCACGCCCGCATTCTCACACTGGGAACAGCTGAATAAATCCGCAGCTAAGTAGGACCACTACAAATCCTGTCGGTAGTGAGCGCTTTTGGGTGGATGATTCTAAAAACTCTATTCTCCAAATAGCTTTTCTGCTGGAGTTTGCAGATTTGAGTGATAGACAATGGAGAATTTATTTTTAGTTTTAGTTTTTAGTTCAAATCTTCACTGCACCAAATAGCTGTCAGCCGGCCCTCTGTGGAAGACGGGATTAAAACGCAGGTCCTTGTTCAAGCAAGAGGCAGAATCCTATTTAAATGGTTAAAGAGTAAGCACAGCATGAGCGCTCCTTCATCATTGTTAAGCCCAGCTTTGTCCTCGTTACTGAAGAGAAGACACCTTCATTTTTGCTGTGTGAAACCAAGGAATCAAGTGGTTGGTCAAATTAAGGAGAGGCCATCCATCCATCTATCCGTCTGCCTGGGAGACTGCTGGGGACCGAAGCAGTGGGGCTAGGCACTGGTTACCAAAAACAAACTTTATTGCCAATTATGGGATCACAGACACCTGAAAACCCTGGCTTCGGGAAGTCAGCCGAGAAACACTTACCTCGGGTGTTTCAGTGAATTTAAGGACAATAATAAAATTGAGGCAAAGGGGAAATATTCATTTGCGCTTATGTGAAATCTCTTTCTGAGTGATCTAAGGAATCAGTCACCTGCAGGTGCTCTGTGTGTGTCTGTGTGAGAATCATCATGAGGACAGTTAGGACCGTTCTCAAAGCTTTGCAGGGTTTTTTCCCAGTTTTTTCTAAATTTTTTTTTTTTTACTTTTGTGGCTTGTTAGGAAGGGGCCCTGGTGGAGGCTCAGGCTGCCCTTCAAGGCCCCAGCTCGACCTGCACTTTCCTTCCTCTTCTCCACAGAGGAACTCATCCATGCTCTGAGCCACAGGCCTTCCATGTGACGGAGGTCACACGTGTGCATAGCACAAACACATACGTTCTTACGCATCTGTGTAAAATGCACGCTACCGACAATTGTTATGGGGGTCCTTCTGCTCCGTGAAGTTGTAGGCAGCACTGAGTGAGTGACCTGGAGCCACTGCTCCCAGGGGAAACACGAGGTCAGGCTCCTGAAGCCTCTGACCACAACAGTTTCATCTGCCAGTCAGTGTATGGCTTTGTTTACTGTGTGTTTCTGTGTGAAGATGCTTCATTTAATGTTTATTGTTGGTCCATTAGCATTGAGCTCAGGGTAGCAGCACTGCGGCTTGTGTTGAGCGAAGGTTCTCCAGACACACGCTTTCTCTACACCAGGCAGTGTTCTGGGACATTTGAAACAGTGACGTTTGCAGTGGCATGAAACAGCTGGTGAGAGGACACTTGTTTGGAGTCTGACAGCTGAGAGGAGGCACGTGCCACCCTGCATGGCCTCGGCCTGGAGTGAGGGTGTGAGGGGAGGCACGTGCCACCCTGTGTGGCCTCGGCCTGGAGAGAGGGCGTGAGATGAGGTGCGTGTTACCCTGCGTAGCCTTGGCCTGGAGTGAGGGCGTGAGATGAGGCACGTGTCACCCTGCGTGGCCTCAATCTGTAGTGAGGGCGTGAGATGAGGCACATGTCACCCTGCATGGCCTCCGCCTGTAGTGAGAGCGTGAGATGAGGTGTGTGTCACCCTGCGTGGCCTCGGCCTGTAGTGAGAGCGTGAGATGAGGTGTGAGTCACTCTGCGTGGCCTTGGCCTGGAGTGAGAGCGTGAGATGAGGCACGTGTCACCCTGCGTGGCCTCGGCCTCTAGTGAGGGCATGAGATGAGGTGCGTGTTACCCTGCGTGGCCTTGGCCTGGAGTGAGGGCGTCAGATGAGGCACGTGTCACCCTGCGTGGCCTCAATCTGTAGTGAGGGCGTGAGATGAGGCACATGTCACCCTGTGTGGCCTCGGCCTGTAGTGAGAGTGTGAGATGAGGCACGTGTCACCCTGCGTGGCCTCGGCCTGCAGTGAGAGCGTGAGATGAGGTGTGTGTCACCCTGCATGGCCTCGGCCTGGAGTGAGAGCATCGGTGACTCATTTTCTGCTGCTCCTTGCATGTCTGCCACTGACTGCAAAATTGCCGCAAGTATTGATTTTGGGGTTCCAGATAAATTTTAGAGAGTGGGCAGATTTGCAAATAAAAGTCATGGATACTGAGCATTGACCAGATCCGATTATATGTGGGAAGTTCCTGAAAGGTAGGTGAGGTCAAATGTCGTTTCTGTATGTAGGGAGACGCTAGGTGCCCGTGTCGGCAAAGGCCAGATGGGAAGCGAGCTCACCCAGTGTGAAAGGCACCCCAAACCTGAATGTGCTTCTTTCAGAGGTTGGCAGCACCGAGGATTTTGCTTCTGAACATTGCAGTTCTCTTCCTTCCCTGTCTTTGCAAAGCCACTTCCACCCGCTGTGTTGGGGGCAGTGATGCCACCTACACAAGGAGAAATACTCATTTCTGATCCAAGCAAGTCTCCCTGGATGTTTACCAACATCCTTCTCGCTGCACTGACTCAGTGAAAAACTGACCCTGCCTGGATGCTTCTGCACTTCCTCAAGGTCGGTTGTCAACTAATATTTTACAGCCAAGGAATCGGGAAGAAACACACATAACTGTTAGTATCTGTGGGTTGGACTGCGCTCCGTGTCTGTTGGGCTGCAAGTCTGAAGCAGGAGCACGGGGCAGCGGGGCGGGGGGCAGGGGGACGCGGGGCAGCGGGGCACGGGGCAGCGGGGCGCGGGGCAGCGGGGCCCGGGTCAGTGGCGCACACCCTGTTGGCTCACACCCCTGCTGGTGACACGGTAGATTTTTCTGTTGGTTTGTCGTTTTTTATTATTGGCATTAGCATTGCTCTCCAAGACAAGGCATGTACAGGAGGAAAGCGTCCTGGCGTCATTGGCAGTGCATTAATTTTGAGAACCCAGCTCCGCAGCTCTGAGCACAGCCATTGCATTTTGCCTGCACTCCATCAAGGGTTTGTCTTTTGCCTCCCTGAGCAATTGGGTAACTCTAATATTGACCTTAACTGAAGTCCTTTGTTTTCACCCTAACAGCCCGAAGCATTAAAAATGCATGTTTACTTAATTTGTCCTGGCGTGCAGTGTAATTACAAGCAGTTTGTTTTCTCTGTTGTAAAATATGGTCTGGAGAAGGAATAAAGTAATGTGGAAATTAACATTGTGATGTACT